ATTGCAGACTGCAGGCACCAGAGAGTACATTGGCTGCTTTCCTGGACAGCACTCCCAGCTCCTCAAAGCTCCACTTCACCTCTTCTCCATCACCATCTACCCACCACAATGCGGGGGTTTTAGGCTTTTTTCCCTCCTAGAGAATGACAGGGTATAGTGCAAACGCTTTGCTTAAGGAATGTACCACCTTTACCTTAATTAAGTCTGAGGAAACGAAACGTTTGGCACTAATTCAGTGCTGGAGGAATCTGGGGATGAAGCTGAAATTTGCCACTGGCTCCAAATGAGTTCACCTTCAGGAAAAGCTGCCTACGAATATCATGTTAGAAATTAAATTTGCATTCCTTTCCTGAGCTCATGCTGTTTCCCTCTGCAGAGGCTGTCCAGCCTTCTGTTCCTGGCCACAAACAAAGCTGCCAATGGACACAGGTGCAGCTGAGCTGTGCCTCAGTTTCACAAACTCTCCAAGCTCATTTCCAACTTATTCTTGAATTGGGCCTATTTGTTACTTCTGAAAATTAGATCTGAGGTTCAAAAGCACAGTGTGATCTCTAATCAAAACCTCTCATAACTGACAGATGTGTGAAAAGTGAAATGTATGTACACAATGTGCTCTTAAGGAGACTGATGCCCTTAGCAGTGACATTGTGTAAGTCACTTCCTGAGCAAAGAAAACCTCATGGGAGCAGCAAGAATATGGTATCTTGTTATCTGTTTGGTGGCAGAATAACACTAAGGTTCATTTCCAGGGAGAAGAGTTTAGCTGTGTACTTCAGAGGGCAAAACTCTTCAGGTGTTCATTCCTTTCTTTGTTCGCAGCCTGCCAAAATCCATTCTGCCTGCAAATGGAGCAAATGCTCGCCTTGTGTCGGGCAGGAGATGCCTCTGCTCTGTTCCTGCTGCCAGGTGGACACCACCGTATTCAGCCCCTCATCATGAAGAACCTGTGGACCACATCCACAGAGACTAGAACAATATAGTAAGATAGGTGATATACCTACACTTCACTTCTTTTGGTTTTTTATTTTTTTATTCCCCATCCTTGCTTAGAACTTGTGCCTGTTTGGGCACTCAGAATGTTTTGGTTTTGTGGATTGACAGCTGCTGATGCAAAGATTTCACGACTGGAAAAGAACGGGGAGGATCAGCAGTACACCGTGTTACTCATTTTGCCGGCAAGCAGTCAGATGTGTGGGGACTGAGTGCTTTGCCTTGCACACACGGGTGGGATGCATGTCACAGCTGGAAGGGGAACCGGCACAAGGCTCAGAGTGCTCCAGTTGGTCTCGTCCTTTAAGGCACAGATTTACTCAGGGTCAGTGTCACCAGTGTTACTGATTAAAGGAACAAATCACTTGGGCTCACAAACAGGGCAGTATGTGGCCTGAGAGGTTCAAACTACACGAGATGGTCACGATACTACAACCAGAGCACAACCGCAGCGGCATGCTGGATGGATGTGTCTGGCAGCTCTCAGCTCTTCAGAAGCAGTGCAGACAAGTAGCTGTTACCTTTTCTACTTCGGTCCATCTGTCCAGCACATCGCTTGCAAAGTTGAAGTACTCTGGCACCTCTGGTCTGTACTGCTGTTTCATGAGTTCGTAACTAAATGAGGCTTGAGCTGGGGAGCTCTGGCTGCAAAGCTGGCGAGATCTTCTCAGGGAAGCATGCAGGGACACGACGCTCAGGGCCTTCAGTAGACACCGCATGGCAGCAGCAGCTCAAGCAGCCTCCAAGAAATGCTGCAGATACAAACCTGGTGTTAGCCATATAGTTTCAAAATGGCATTTACTAAAAGCAGTGGAATGCGCTGGAATAACAATAACTGGTATCTGGAATACCGGGTGAGGACAGCTCTGGTTCTGCTGCTGTGGGTCCCTGCCCTCCACAGACCATCACACAGCTGAGATCCCCACCATGCACCCCACTTGCCGCGCTCAGGCCGGCCAGCAGGGCACTATGCCCATGAGTCACAGCCTTTCCCTCCCCACAGCTCCTACCCACCTACTAGACTGCACTGCTGTTACGTAGCAGAGACACTGAAAGCACCTGAACTGTGGCTGCTGGGAATGAAAGGACTGCTACTGACTGAGAACACTTTAGTAGCAGTGTGGACTAAAATGGTGCATAGAAAACCAACAATCCTGCGTGAGTTACTGGCTGATTGCAGCGTTACTAGCTTCAAAGGCATCTGCAGTTTACCCTATCAGCACTAGGGTTATGCTGCTTCCCAAGAGTAAAATGCATATAGGAAAGCCCTGAAAATGTTTTAGTACTGCTGTTTTAAACACTGCTTTGTTGTGCAGTCAGCCAAATCCACCTCTGTCTGAGATGGGGAAAGTTTAAAAGGCCCTGAGATTCAAAATGCAGAGCTGTGTTTCTCTACAGTCGGCTTAGCAGGAGGGCAGAAAACTCAACAATCATCATTTTCATGCATTGTTGACATTTATTTACAAAATAATATAAACACTGATAGCTCCTTGCTAAATTAATAATCATCCAGCTGTAAACCCACATGATTTCAGTGATTCAGTGAAGCAAAGGGACAATTTCTGATGTGTAACATTCAATCTGTTTATGAAAGACACAGGAGAAAAACCCAGTGAGATGAAAGGTGTGGAGAGGCAAGGAGAACAGGGAATACAGACAGAAAGAGGCACACCAGTCTTGTTCCAGTACCAGAAAGTGTCCTGTCCAGCAGCAGCAAGGCTGGCTGGGGAGCCAGCCAGCTCGTGCAGAGGCTGTTACCTCACCTCTCAGTCTCTCAGCCCTCCAACTGCTAAAATGCGCCCCAACTTTGGCTGCTAGCACAAATCCAAGGCTTCGGTTGCACAGCTCTTCTAGCACTGCTGCTGAGCCCAGTGACTGCCTGCTGTGTCTGTTCTGCGTACTTTGGACTCACACAAGGGGCAGCCAGGTCCCATCTGGAGAGAAGAGCTGACAGGTTTCTGCAGAGTTCAGAGTGGAAGCAGAAAGTGAGGTGAAGGTGAAAATCTCTCCTGTTCCTTCCAGTTCCCTGCTCCCACCCCTGCCCCAGAAAAGCAGAGCCTTAGGACCTTGCTTGCTGCAGACAACTCCAGCTTGTTACATTCTGTCTCGGGCAGCACAAGGAACAACAGACCATAACCACAGCAGTGCAGCTGTGTCTGTCGACTCCTGGGGTGCTACAGCTGGCACAGCATTCTGTAAGTGCTCTGCCACATGGCCATGGCATTATTATGCTCTTTTTGCCATCAGCCCACGATGAAAGGGTCGTATTTGCCAGGGAGCTGGGGACATGCTAACCTTAAATTGGGGCACCAAGATTTATTTCTAAGGGTTTGGCTGTCAGAGTTCCTCCTGCTGCATCTCCACCCTCAAGCTGCAGGTCCAAGGCCAGAAGAGAGATTGCTAGCAGCCATCCATATCTTTGAAGCCAAGCAGCTCCACATGCTGATCAGAAAAGGTGACTCTGCCGCTTTTCTGCAGGCAGGATCTGCATGTTTGCCATGTTACCCCCCGGGGTGCAGCTCACGTCTGTCGGTGACAAGCAGACTCAAAGGAGATGCTAACCATTAATTCTTGCTCACAAAACTGTAATAGTTTTTAGATGTGAATAGTTACGGACATAATGTTATAGACTAGAAAGCATTTTGTAAGGCTATTCTGCTTTAGCCAGGGATCTTCAGCAAAAGAAACACAATAATGAAAAGGCACATGCAGGCTTATCAAGCATCAAAGAGAGGGCCTTCACACAAGGCCAAATTGCTCCATTCTGGGGGAAGCTTAGAATGCAACAGGTGTGTCAAGAAACTCCCCCTATCCTCCTTATCTTCCTATTTCCCAGTAGATCACTGAAAGACAGGATGCTGAGCTTACCTCTATCCCAGAACTAACAGATGTGCAGACAATAACGGTTAAGTAGGCAAACGTTACGATTTTGGTACGTGTAAATTGCTTGTAATAGGCGTTCTCCTACTGAACATGCGTAAATGAAGAGAGTTCATCTAGAAGGCGAGCGAGAAAGAACATTGGATGAAGCAACCGGCTGCGGACTGGGCTGTCATGGAGCTGAAGGGACACTGGGCGGCAGCAGAGATCGTGGAGCAGAGGACTGAAACCTTCCTAAGTCAGTACTTGAGATAGACGCGTATCTGCTAATTATCTCGTGACGGAATTATGTACTATCTGTGAAAACATAAGGAACTCGTAAACATGTCATCTTAAAAGCTCTTATGGCGAAATTCTCCCCAGTGCTTCCTGGTGCGGCTAAAAAAGAATACCCGCTTAACAGCAACAAAACTTTGCTGGACTGAAATGGATTGAAACTAAAAGAGGGGAAATTTAGGTGAGACGTTAGAAAGAAACCCTTCCCTCAGAGGGCGGTGAGGCGCTGGCACCGCTGCCCGGAGCTGCGGGTGCCCATCCCTGGGGGCCCAGAGCCACGGCCAGGGCAGCCGGAGCTGGGGGCGGGGTGGGGCTGCGAGGGCCGTTTCGACCCAATGTGCTGAGATTCTGGGCCACGATTTGTGGCCAATAATGCCACTAATATATGGCAATTGCTGTAGGGTTAAGTGAGCCCTGAAGGCTTTCCGGGAACCAAGTAAGACAGGAGTAAGGAACCATTAGTAAGACACAAATGGCACCTCTTGTTGCCTTCCTTCTTGCTTTTGCTAAGCCGGTAGCTCCCACAGACCGCCCGGCAACGACGAGCATCTCTTCGTCTTTGCTCTCAACTTTGCTCAAGTAGCATCAAACAATGAAAAGTCCTCGCACGCACCAAGCAAATCGCGGAGGCGTCCACCGAGCCGCCACCGAGCAGACAAAGCGGGCTGTGGCGATGAAAGCGAGCGCCGCGCAGCCAGCGCAAGGAGCCGCAGGGAGCGCACGCAGAAGCCGCGCCGAGCGGAGCGCAGCGCCGCCGCATTGGCCGCCGGGGGGCGCGGGCCGTGTGACGCCATCGCGGGGGGCGGGCCGTGTGACGCCATCGCGGGGGGCGGGCCGCGTGACGCCATCGCGACGCGCGGCGGCGGGGCTCTCCATGGCCGCGCCGGAGGCGGCAGCGCGGAAGCGGCGGCTGAAGGGGCATTTCGCGGCTCGCGCCAAGCGGCCCCGCGGCGGCGGGCGGCAGCTGGAGGCCGGCATGCGCGGCATCCTCATCACCTGCAACATGAACGAGCGCAAGTGCGTGGGGGAGGCCTACAGCCTGCTGGGCGAGTACGGGGACCTGCTGTACGGCCCCGAGCAGGTGCGTGCGTCCCGGGGCGGGGCCGGGGGGAGGGCGGCCACGCGGTCTCCGCGCCGCTGGCGCTGAGCGGGGCTCGGGCCGGGCCCGCCGTGCCGCCCGGCAGCTCCGCTCGGCGCTCACCGCGCGGGGCGAACCGTGTGCCCGCAGCTCTCGGAGCCCGCGGAGCGGCTGTCGGGGAGCGAGCGGGAGGAGGACGAGGAGGAGGACGACGCGGAGGCGGCGCTGAGGAAGGAGGTCGGACAGATCCGCGCCTGCACCGAGCGGCAGCTGCGGCGTTTCCAGTCGGTGGAGAGCGGCGCCAACAACGTCGTCTTCATCCGCACCCGCGGCATCGGTGGGTGCGCCGTGCCGCGCCGTGCTCACGCGCCGCGGAGAGCCTGGGCTTCTCCTAGAGCGGCCCGGGCAGCCAGGAAGGCCGGCGGCGTCCTGGGCCGCATCGGCAGTAGCGCAGCCAGTGGGACGGGGAGGTGACCGTTTCTCTGCTGTCAGCCCTGGGGAGGCCGCGCCTCGAGAGCTGCGTTCGGTGTTGGGCTCCTCGCTGCGAGAAAGACGTCGAGGCCCTGGCATTCAGAAAAGGGCAGTGGGACCAGTGAGGGGTCTGGAGCACTAGTCTCATAGGGAGCAGCTGAGGGAATGGGATGGCTCAGTCTCAAGCAGATCCTCAAGAAGAGGAGACATTACTGCGCTCTACAACTCCTGAAAGGAGGTTGTGGGGGTGGGGGGTCGACCTCTGCGCCCAGCTAACAGCAATGGGACAACAGGGAACATTCAGGTCGAGGTTTAGGAACAACTTCTTCTCCAAAGGAGTAGTCAGGCACTGGAATGGGCTGCCCAGCAATGTGGTTGAGTCGCCATCCCTGCAGGCGTTCAAGAACAGGGGAGATGTGGCAATGAGGGATATGGTTGGTGGGTAAATTTTGGTGGTAGGTGGACTGTTGGGTGAGATGATCTTAGAGGTCTCTTCTGTCTGTAATAATTCTATCCCCCAGCTTATACTTTTGGGGGGGAACAAGGGAGAAGATGCCTCCAAGTTGATTCTCACACCTAGCTGTTTCCTTGTAGAACCTGAGAACCTGGTGCACCACATATTAAAGGACATTCATACCACTAAAAAGAAGAAAACCAGAGTCATTCTGCGCATGCTGCCCATTTCTGGAACTTGCAAGGCTTTTCTGGAAGATATGAAAAAATACACAGAAACGTTTTTTGAGCCTTGGTTTAAAGCCCCCAATAGGAGTACTTTCCAGATCGTTTACAAAGCTCGTAATAACAGTCATATGAATAGAGAAGAAGTAATTAAGGAGCTGGCAGGTACGTATAGATCACATACAGAGCTGAATCCAAGTATGCAAGCAGCACACAGCTGCATTCATAACATAGGCTAGGCTATTTGAAGAAAAGTGCTGTAAACAAGGAGGCATATTTGTTGCTTAACACCTGTACATTGAGTTACAAAAATGTCCCTAAGGCTCTGAAAAGAGCTTGACATCAATGTTGATGTCTCAAGAGATGACAAAGCAGAACAGCATGCGGTAGTGAATTCAGTTTGGCCTGTCAGTTATACGTGCTTTGAAATGACTATGTCAAGTTGTTTTCTCTGAATGCAATACTGAAATATACACACTGCTATTTGCATTTAATGTGGGACTTGCAAAACAGCTCTGCAGCAAGTTGCATACTTTGCGTCTTGTTTCTTGCTAGTTAAATTGGATAACTCTTAGTTACTGCAGTCCTCCTGGTAGTATTTCTTAAGAATCCTAGTCTGTTCTGCTGGTTTACACAATTGCAGTAACTAATGATTGGTCACAAGTAGAGGGATGTTATCTTCTCTGACCTGTATCCCCTTCAGGAGAGTAGGCTGATGCTTTGAAACTGTTTTCCCAACTTTTTTAAAATTATATTTTGTTTTACAGGAATTGTGGGCAGTCTTAATCCAGAAAACAAGGTTGATCTCAATAATCCACAGCATACAGTTGTGGTGGAAATAATAAAGAATGTTTGTTGCTTGAGTGTGGTGAGAGACTATGTTCTATTCAGAAAATACAATCTACAGGAGGTGGTGAAGAGCAACAAAGAAGACATGCAACAAAACCCATCAAATATGTCTGAAGAACAGAACTCAACAGCCGTAAAACCAGAAACCATGGAAAAGAACTTGAAGCAAGTAATACAAGAACAAGAGTGATGGTGCGATGGAAGCTGAACTCCACGGGCATTATATGCAAACAGTGTAGAAAATGTGGTAGGAAGGGAAAATGGACACAATAGAAGCCTATTAAAAATACTGCCTGAGAATTTGGAAAGGATGTTTTAAGGAAAAGTGGGTTTTGTTTTGGAATCTTGCTTTTAAAATCCACACGGAAGAATTGCAATGCTTGCTGCAGGTGGAGCTGATGCTGCTGTGGATTTCCAAGTGCTACACCTCTGGTGACGTTTGCTGCCATCCTTCAGCAGCTTTGTTCAGTCTTTAGCTAGCACCAAAGTGTGCTTACATGCATGCATCTATAAAGGCTGCCAGCCTGCCGTACACTGAACCTTCTGTCCTATCTGATGGCTACAGAAATCAGAAGGCAGCGCAGGATGAGCTCTGTCAGGAGGCGTCATCAGAAGTGACAGACCTGAACAAGACAGTTGTCTGGAGAGGGTTTTTAGGGAAGTGATCTGACAACTTGGGGCTGCAGAACTCAAATCTATATTTCTACATGAACAACAACGTGAGCTCAAAATCCTGATTATGTTTTTTTCCTGTGTGTATCTCTGAAAGAATATGATAAGTCTTGAAAGAGCATTGGGACAATTGCTATGATCAAAGTACTTGAATTCTAAGAGAGGATTCAGTGTAATAGACAGGACTGCTCTAGAACAGAGGTACAGTGCAGGCGTTGCAGATGATTTCAGGAAAAGTGTGTGTACATCAGCTGTGTATGCAGCAGTTATCAGCTTGCAGCAAATGCTGCATGCAGCCACTTAACAGAATCCTTCCCAATAATTTATTGCAAATAGGTGTTCGTTGGGGTCTTTTCAAAAGCATCATCCTTGGGAGCAAAGTTGTGAGATCTTTGTTTTTATTTTTTCTTAGATCTCAAAATTTGGATTTAAAAACTGCTTGGAAATTTCTTATGAGGAGCTCTCTGCTGTGCCATATTGGATAAGGGGATATGAGCTTGGCTTTTTCTACCAAAACATTCACAACATTCATTTTGTTCCGTATTGAAAATGAATGTCAGTGGATTTTCTGTTGTCAGTTTGTTGTGGCAGTTCTTGATATCACCGTGACTTTAAAGCAAACCAGGCCAAAGAGTGTAGATACAGCCTGCTTTCTGAGGGGGGCTGGAGCACTCTTCCTGCACAACTGCCTAGCGTCAGTGTTCCATTTGTAATGCAGATGCTTGTGGGTTGCTCATGGGAAAAGCCTGTGCTGAAGAACACTGCTTGTTCCTTCCCTGATTTAACAGGAATGATTTGTTCGGGTCTCTCAATAGTGTTTCCATTTTCCTCTTCTCTCAAAACTGTTACAGAAGTGGAAATTTAAGAGGGCTTTTTCTCTTGTCCAGTCTTCCTTATCACTTGGTTATTAAAGATATGCTTTCTTACCTCCATCAGTGTTTCTTTTGAAACTTAAAGCTTTTTGCATATGGATGAAAACTGACAATGCTGACGTCATCTGGGGAGAACCTGCTGGAGTTCAGGCACAGTGGCCAGCTGGCACGTTTGGTGGGGGCTGATGTTGGTCAATGTGGCTGGAGACAGCCCACTTGTTATTACAGAGGCCGAGGACTCATGGATAGTTGTGTTGTAGGGCTGTTTTTTTCCTTCTGTCTGTCACTCCAAAATGCAAGAAGCTGCTGAATAACTCCCACCCACCTGCCAAGCCTGTGTCTGACACACAGATGCTGTCTCTGCTGCAGTCTTAAAGGTGTGCATGTGTGTTGTTGGGGTTTTTTTTGGCTTGTTTGGTTCGTGTTTTTTTTTTTTTTTTTTTTTTCAGCCCTTGCTGAGCATTGATTCTTAATGTGTTAACTCCTAAATTGAGAAGTTACCAAGATTAAAGTAGGTAGGGTGCATGCAAGGTCTGTAGCTGTTTCTGGGCATGTTGTTATCTGCTACTGTGACTCCTTGTTCATAAGCCTCCTATGGGTTAAAGTGTGCAGTACTGGAGAATTAACAGCCTGCTCCTTCACCTGGTCATCACTCCTAGGGCACATCACTGTTCTGAAAAGTGTCAGGCAGTGGAAGAAGCTGTGCTTGCATCTGCCTTGTTTGTGTTAAACAAGAACACAGGCATTTAAAAACTGCACAGGTGGGAGTTGTAAAACGTGTGATTATCACCCATTCACTGCCTATTGGTGTGACACACGCACAATCCTAGGTTGGTGCTTACAGCTGTAATAGGACAGTTTTGTCACAAGTAAAATTAGTGGGGATAGGTTTTATAGATAGCTTCTCAAAACTAAATCTGTTCCCTCTCTTTGTTGCTTGCTTCATTTTGTTTGATTTTCTCATTAATAATCTTTGGCAGTTACTTGTCAGAGAAAAGACCACGGGAGACAAGTCTCATGCTATCATGATCAACAGGTCTCAACTTTATTAAGTATATTGTGGCTATTTATACATGAAATAATTAGCTCATACATATTGCAAAAGCGAAGCTCATGATTGGAAACAACGGTTACTACTCTGTTATTTGCAATACAACAAGTTACAAAGCAAAACCAAAATAATAAGAAGCACATAATCCCAATCACTATGAGTTCATGGTCGTTTCAAGCCTGGTTTCAGTTTCACATCCTGACACCGTTCTTTTTGTGGGTTCCGTGAGCTGCAATGGGAGTACGCACAACCATACCCCCTTTTTCTTTTCAAATTGGGAAGGGAATTCCGGACCAAGCCCTGTTCCCACAAATAAGAAATATCCCATGAGGCAGTGAGATAGGAGTGTTGGATGATAGAGATCCCTTTGGGTTTGTGTGATTACACCATGCCGTTGCGTTTTGGTATACAGGATGGCTGGCATTAACAGTTATTGGGTATGAATAATTGGCGCCTGATTTGCCTGGACTGGCACGGTATACACTCATCCAATTAAAGTCACCACAGCCGGATTCTCGGTGGTCCATGTAAGAGGTAGCGGGAAAGTCCAAGCAATGGCCGTCACACTAAAGGGTGCTTGTTAGTAAGAACAAGGCCGAGCTGGGCCAATATGTCCTTGCCAATCAGACAGGGAACCGTGGGCGGGAGCGGTGCATTAGAGAACACTGCTGTGGCTCTTCTGCCATCTATTTCTACTGTAAGGGTGGGGGTTCGGTTAGCCAATGT